TCATTCTTCATCTTCAGCCATGGATGTCCCTGCGGCCGACAGCGAGTGGAGGAGTCCTCAGTTCCGACAGAAAGTCGTTGTTCAGATGTGAGAAATTTGATTCTCTTTTTTTCTGTTTCGTTCTGTTTCTATCGGCTAGGTTAGCATTAGCTTAGCTAGCCGCTAATAGACATAAACAGTCTAGATGTAACTTACATTAGGTCAGAATCAGCTTGTTTCTCATCTCTAACTCTGTTTAAACTTGTTTTAACAGAATAAATACGGCGTTTATTGGGATTTTAATTTCAGAGATAAAAGTGTTGTTTTCAGAGCAGTTTTAGTAGTTAGCATGTTTAGCTGCTGTGGCTAATCAATCGGTCTCCGCCAGGTGACGTCATTAATTACCTCGGGCGCGGTGCATCGTGGGAAAACCACCATATTAGGTGGAAAGTCAAGTTAACCCACACGCGGCTGTTCTTTCGGCACAATTATTTACCAGAAATGACACGATCGTGTTGTGTGAGAGGCTGCCAGTCCAGGTACGGTAATTTCGCATTTTGCTTACTTTTTTCCTTATAGTCAGAGAAACAAACTCAATCCTTTAGTCCTTCGTTTAGCTATGGCGTCTTAGCAACAAATGTCACGTGACTGGCGGAGACCGATGCTATAAATAGTAGCTTCACATCCTGATTAAAGTTTTTATAAATTCCAACAGAGAAGTCGTTTATGGTGTTAATCCGAAATATATATATTCATTTTTAAGAATAAAAACTAAGAATTATAATCGTAATCGTAACTGGCTATTTTTGTTAAATTGTAGTTTTTCTATCAACATTCCTGTGCTTGTTTTTATTCAGTGCTACACTTTCATTGGTCTGAATGTCATGATTAATTGACTGAAAATATAAAAAGAGTTTTTAATCTAAACCAACTTAATGAATAAAAAACATTATCAGCTGGAATTATTTTTACTCAGAACCACTGATGGTTTTCAGCATTTTCCTCCTAAATCACAGGAAGCCCTTCTCTCATGTTTCACATTTAAATATTGGGAACAAAAAAAAATGCTCCTATCCAACAGAGATGTTCATTTAGTTAGGATCCCTTGGTAGAATATTCTGCGTGTTTTTAAGGTGTGATCTGTGATTTTGGTCCTCAGTGAAGATGCCATGAGAAAGGCTGGATCTGGAAACACCACGCACAAGTCAGGGACCGACATGGAGAACCATATCTTCCTCAAAGCCAAGAGCAGAGTGAGTCACGTCAGAAGATGAAGCTGACAGATTGGTGGAAAGTGTCATTGTTTATATCTATGTTTATTTTCTATGCTAAAAGCTGTTGTTCCTGTGAGAATCAATCTAATGTGAGTAAAGCTGCAGAAAGAGACAAATGATCCTCCATGGTGCCTGTTGTGTGTTTTAGGAGGAATATCTCTCTCTGGTAGCGAGGCTCATCATCCACTTCAGAGACATCCGTGAGTTAAACTTTGGTTCTCCTGCTGTTCATCAGAAGCTGTAGAAGTGAAGCATGTAGACTGACTGACTGATGACTTTGTGTTCCAGATAAGAAGGCCATGGGAGCACCCGGTGAGTGGAGCTTTGCTGTCTCTCGTGTTCTGTCCCGGACCCGGAACCGTCTCCACCGGATTCCCGGCGCTCATGATTTCTGCTGTGCATGTTGGAGCTGCATAATGTTGTCTGTTGTTTACCCTCTGCTAGATCCCATGAATGAACTCTTAAGCCCTCCTTTTATTTAAACAGATTTTCCACAGATGGGCAAGATAATATTATCTCCTAACTCTGAAATGACAAACATTTCCTCGCAATCAGCGTTTTGTGCTGAGTTGCTTTTTGTCATTTTAATTGTACCAGTTGAGCAAACAATTTAGACCAATAGTAAAAAGTAGACAAAGCAATACTCTATTGCCAGTAACTTGAAAAACGTGAATGATTTAAAGTTGTTCTGCATGCAAACCAAATAATGTGGCGTCCTCAAAACAACAGAAGGGAATAGGATGACAGCTGACAGCATTAACATGGTCACACATCATGACAGGTTCGTAATTGCGGTAAGAAAAATAATCAACAATAACAGTTAAAATTTAAAGTAGCCTGCTACAACCCTAATTGAGGATAAGATAATAACATCCAAACAACATCCCAGGAGATGGAGTGTTTTACAGCCCATATTCCTCCAGATCCCGCTGGATCACAAGTTAATCTGTGACACTCTGCAGATTCTGACGCTTTCAGATCCTCACGATGCGTTTATTTGATCCCCAAACTTAAATTACTCATAATATTTCACATTATCCACAGACAACAGACGTGTGTTGGATAGATATTAGGCCAGGATAAATTATAACCTTTATACTGACCCGTTTGTTTACATTTGCGGCATTTTGATCGGGCAACCACGCAGCCAACTAATCTCTCCAAACAGCTGTGCTGTGGACCCCGTCACAAATTAATCTAGTTCTTCGTTTAAGAATATCTGCATTTTTCTACAAGATAAAACATAAAGCAGTCACGGCGACTCATATCCACACCATAGCGGTAGCTGCTAACTCTGGGATTTAAATTCTACTGTGAAAACAGAAAAAGTAAAGTTTTCCGCATCAACAGGTATGTGATTCAGATTCTATTAGCTGCAATGCGCCTAAGTAAATACATTTTACCCCCTTTTTACACATGTGCTGCTTACACACGTGCATTCTGAATGACAGGCCTCATTAATGGATTTATTTTTACATTCAGGAATTTATGAAGTGGGCGGACTTTATCGTCCAAGCAACAGGTTTTCATTTATAGCTTATCGTTCAACAGGAGAAATGACACTGCAGTGTGAGACAGACTTTTATTTTTATTTTTTTTTATTGTTCTCTGTGTGGGATTCTTTGCACTATCTGCTTTGCTGAGGATACAAGTTCTTTACCACATCATTCTAATCTGAAAAAACAAAACAGAAATTAATTCATTAGATATGTCGATTGATTTTTTTTGGCGAACAGTTTTGTTACGTTAGGAATATTTTTTCGCCAGGCATCAACACAACCACCTAAGCTTCAGTAACATCTGCTGTGTGCATAGATTCTAACCAGTTAATCTCGTCCCCAGTTGATCTGTCACACCGGCAGCGTTATTCCTGTAGCGGAAGACAGAAGAAGAAAAGCTCCGATCCGAGAAATAACTCCTCCGTTTGGGGTCATTCTTCAGCCATGGATGTCCCTGCGGCCGACAGCGAGTGGAGGAGCCCTCAGTTCCGACAGAAAGTCGTTGCTCAGATGTGAGAAATTTGATTCTCTTTTTTTTTTTTCTGTTTTGTTCTGTTTCTATCGGCTAGGTTAGCATTAGCTTAGCTAGCCGCTAATAGACATAAACGGTCTAGATGTAACTTACATGAGGTCAGAATCAGCTTGTTTCTCATCTCTAACTCTGTTTAAACTTGTTCTAAGAGAACAAATACGGCGTTTATTGGGATTTTAATTTCAGAGATAAAAGTGTTGTTTTCAGAGCAGTTTTAGTAGTTAGCATGTTTAGCTGCTGTGGCTAATCAATGCTATAAATAGTAGCTTCACATCCTGATTAATGTTTTTATAAATTCCAACAGAGGAGTCTGTTATGGTGTTAATCCGAAATATATATATATTCATTTTTAGAAGAAAAACTAAGAATTATAATCAATAAAAATTAATCTTATATCTAATTGTAACTGGACAGTAGTGTTTTAACAATATAAAACTAATTATTTACTGAGAATAAATAACCAATATGCAGCTATGGACATTTTTACAGTAATGGATATTTGAAAATAGCAGCAACATCAGAGATGTGCAGAATGACAGCAGCAGGTTATTTAACTGACTAAGGTAGAAACTGAGCAGAATCAGCATGAATGGAAGAACTGGTTGACTGATTCCAGCTGCTGGGAAGAAGGATCTGTGATAACGCTCCCTGGTGCATTTAAGGTGCAGCAGTCTGTCACTGAAGGAGCTCTCCAGTTCAGCACCAGCTTCATGCATGGGGGGGCATTATCCAACAGAGATGTTCATTTAGGCCCCGTCCACATGAAGTCAAACCCTGGCCTAAACGCACAAATTTTTCACCAAACCAGCCTCTCATCCACACGAAGCCGGCGTTTCGGGGGTCTGTAAACGATCTGTTTTTTATTCAGCCTTCAGAGTGGGAAGATTTAGAAACGCCGTTTTCGCGTTTCCATCTTTACGCTCTAACCGCATTTTTTTTTTACACGCATGCGTCATAGCGTCGCCTCTAAACACGCATGTGCGACACAGTATCAAAACAACAATGGCGCCGTTGCTGCTAATGCTACTCACCCTGCTGTCGGGCTTACAACAGAATCTTCTTCTTCTGGAATATCTCCAGAAAGAACAGAGCAATATCGACGACATAGTTCAGCACCTGAATTTGACTGAACCACGAAAATGGACCCGCAGGGCAACCATGTATAAATATTAGTGCGCATGCCCAACATTTCGTCGCTTATTTTTGCTTTGGCACCACAGCGCCACTTACAGGCCTGGCATACATTTTGCAGTGTTTTCATGCATTCGTGTGGACGCTCACATTTATTTTACGTCTCCGTCTTTACGACAAACGTTTTGGAAAATATTAGCGTTTCATGTTCGTTTTGACTTCGTGTGGACGGGGCCTTAGTTAGGATCCCTTGGTAGAATATTCTGCGTGTTTTTAAGGTGTGATCTGTTATTTTGGTCCTCAGTGAAGATGCCATGAGTAAGGCTGGATGTGGAAACACCACGCACAAGTCAGGGACCGACATGGAGAACCATGTCTTCCTCAAAGCCAAGAGCAGAGTGAGTCACGTCAGGAGATGAAGCTGACAGATTGGTGGAAAGTGTCATTGTTTATATTTTTTTATGCTAAAAGCTGTTGTTCCTGTGAGAATCAATCTTATGTGAGTAAAGCTGCAGAAAGAGACAAATGATCCTCCATGGTGGTTTGTTTTAGGAGGAATATCTCTCTCTGGTAGCGAGGCTCATCATCCACTTCAGAGACATCCGTGAGTTAAACTTTGGTTCTCCTGCTGTTCATCAGAAGCTGTAGAAGTGAAGCATGTAGACTGACTGACTGATGACTTTGTGTTCCAGATAAGAAGGCCATGGGAGCACCCGGTGAGTGGAGCTTTGCTGTCTCTCAGGGGTTCTTGGCCGTGTTCTGTCCCGGACCTGGAACAGTCTCCACCGGATTCCCGGCGCTCATGATTTCTGCTGTGCATGTTGGAGCTGCATAATGTCTGTTGTTTACCCTCTGCTAGATCCCATGAATGCCCTGAATAACCTGACAGGGGTTGGAGGGGGCCCAGGCGCCATTGGCATGGGGCCTCGGCCCCCCGGCGCTGCGGTGGGGGGCATGGGGGCCATGGGGCAGATGCAGTTAGGCCAGCATGCCATGGCCGGGGTGTCTGGAAACCCACAAGCCAGTGAGTGTGTTTCCTGTTGATGCGCTTTGTGAATGCAGGCTGGACGGTTAAACAATTACAAAGGATTCTGCCATGTTTTATATATATAAGTCATGGGTACCTGATGATGGCATTGAAATTATTTCTAAGAGCATTAAAAAGCATTAGATTACAGTTCCTCATTGATTGCTGTATGAGTAACTTAGAATGAACAGATGTCAACCATCAGATAACTGAGCTGGAACTGATGATCCACGGATGGCGGACGCTGGCATATGGTGGAACTATTTGAAAAAATCCCTCGAACTTCTTCATCGTGCTCATAACTTATACCAAACATAACTGATCCAGTTTTTGACAGGTTTTCCGTACGTCAGGCTTTAGCTGAAACACAGAGCTTGTTTCTCTGCAGATTAGCTGATTGACCTGGAAAGGCAAACCTTATCGGAGAAAATGGCAGTTTGTTTAAGCCAAATCCTGACCTCGCCGTCACTAAACGTATCTGTCAGGTCAGTTTAGATCCAAAATTCAATTCTTTTAATTTTTCAAATTAATTAAGAGTTTAGGTTAGAGATTGAGCAACATTGCCATCTGGTGGTGCAAACGGGTTTCTGCCATTTTATATTAGCAATTTTAGATCCGGAAGATCTGTGGCTCTCAGGACTTTAGGGCTGAAATGAAAGTGTTTCAGTGGATCATTAAAGCTGTGAGACGTCTGGATGCTTTGAATAGACCAAATGTTTCGGATCCTTCCTCTGCTGCAGCAACAGGCCCAGGCCCAGGCTCAGGCTCAGGTCCAGGTCCAGGTTCAGTCCATGCAGCAGATGGTGCAGCAGCAGCAGCAGCAGGTTCAGTCTGGACAGATGCCTCCACACTCCCAGCAGCAGGCTGGGATGGTGCCTCAGTCTCTGGCCGGTCAGATGACGGCTCAGTCTGTTCCCATCAACTCTCTGAGCCAGCAGCTGCAGCAGCACCTGAAGATGTAGGCCTTCCAGGTGAGCACTGAATCTGATCAGCTCTGCAGTTTTAGCTATAATAGATATAGATCTTTAGCGTGGGGTGGGGTCCCTGGTGACCCCCACCCCCGGAGAGCCATGGAGATAGCTCATGGATTTAAATTTTGGCTTAATTAAAAAAAAAGAGAAATGTAGATCTTACCTACAGATATCTTCCTTCACCTTCCAGGATCCCCAGTCAGGACCGGAAATGTGGGGCCCTAGGCAAAGACAGGCAGGGGCCCCTCTGAATGGAGAACCCAACATAGAGAAATGTTAATAGAATAGACATCCATTATCATTTCTAGGTTGTGTCCCTCTCTTCTTGTCCCTTTTCTTCTTGTTTTCCTCTCTATGTTTTGTACTCAGCTGACTTTTCATGCTGTCTCTAAAGGAATGAAAGATTTTTTCCAAGCACTAAGCTCACTTAGCTGATTGCTCCTTCCTGTGTTTCCAAAAAGGCCAAAGTAAATAACCCAGTCCTTCTTTTCACTGTAGACAAGCCATGATCTGCTTATCTGTTCTCCATTTTTCATTTGGATGAAATAATAGCTGCATGAATCATGACAGCAGACAAGATAGAGGAGAGCAGGAGGCGGGGTTACCAATCTACTCGCTCTGGAGAGCAGAGTTCGCTGCTTTTAGATGTTGTCTCCAAAGTCTCCAGTAGCAGAAAAAAGTCTCTAGATTTGGCGCTGGGAGCTTTTTAGAAATCAAAGTGCTAGAGGGGTCTGAAAAGTGGCTAAATATAGCGACTAAAGCGCTAAGTTGGCAACACTGCTCTTTGCATGGTTTGTTTTCAGTGGTTTGCTGCTGTCTGTTTGGACCTTTCTGAACATGTGCAGCAAATGGACTGATCCAATATGGTGAACGCTGAAGGGGGGGGGCTGAGACACACTTATTATTATCAGCATTCTGATGGCATTTTAGCCAAAGGATTTTTATCAAAAACATAATTAATGTGCACAAATAAGGAATAGTTGGATTAACCATACATGCAAACCAGTTGTGGGTGGCCTATATATGTATATATATATAAATATTAGGGGTGGAACGGTTCACAAAATCCACGGTTCGGTTCGATTCAAGGTTTCTGGTCACGGTTTTCGGTTCGATTCGATACATGTTGATTGTTACACCGAAATCCCATAAAAATTTATGAAATTAATGAAAAAATCCCCCAAAAAATAATGGATTGTAATTATTTTAAATGATCCGCAGAAACCCTGGATCATTTCCGTATGTTTTGCTGCTTTGAATTTAATCATCTGGCGCATGACCTCTACCATCTCCAAGGAACTCAGAGGGGAGCGGACGAAGCCACAGCGGGGGCTGTAGGCTTTGCTTTGAGCAGCCGGTCTGGAGCGCAGCGGGGTGGAGCGGGGGTTGCTGACGGAGTATGAGGGATTTCGGGGTTAGCATGACATGTTGCTGTTAGCATAAACAAAACGTGTTGCACAATGCTTGCACACTGTTGCACTTTTATCCACAACTTTCTTTCCGCTGTCATCGCAGGTCACTCTAAATGCAAAATGGTCCCACACAGCAGACCTATAAAGTGCTGCTGGTGCGTCTTCCAACTCCTGTTCTTTCCCACTCGCCATGCCCACACAATTCTCCACAACAACTGAGTTTTCTCTGCTACACCCGGCTACGCTGCTTCGCTTCTTCTTCTTGTTACTACCGGCGGTTGGCTTTAGTCGCAGTACCGCCACCTTCTGCTCTGGAGTGTAATCGCTTCCTCTATGAGAAAAAGGAGCAGTGCATGAACCGAACGAAACACACGCGAATCGAACCGAGACAGTTGAACCGAACGATTCTGACGCTTTTCATAAATCGTCCCATCCCTAATATATATATATATATTTATATGTGCAGTCCTAGGAACAGCTAAGATACTGCGCAGAACCCTCAAACTCCCAGGCCTCTGGTAGAGGACCCGAGCTTGGGGATGACACATACCCCCCACGAGGGGTGAGAAAACAGTTTTTATATATATATATATATATATATATATATATATATATATATATATATATATATATATATATATATATATATAAAATTTGAAATTAAATTAGAAAAAATATGTAAAATATTTCAAAATATATTGTGCAACATAAATATTTAATCTTTAATGACTAGTAAAGCGTCATTCCATTTTTAATCGGATTGGTGACATTTTTCTGCCCTGGGTGAGAAAATCTTTAGTCAATAATTTGCTCCCAGAAAAGAACCAGTAGGGAAGTTCTGAGGTGCAGCCGCTTTCTGGGGGACATAACTTCCAGGTTTAACAGCCCATTGACTCTCATTAAAAGTTACACATGTGCAGTAGCTCCCCTGAAATACAGAAGGACAGGTGAGCTCTGCGCCCAGAGGTGACAGGAAGTATATTTGCTCACCACCTCCCCCCACAGTGCTGATGTTTTGCGGGTGATTGACAGGTCAAATCGCGGGAGTTGGAGATCAACTGGATAGAGAGAGAAATGGTGCAAAAAACCAGGACTTGTTTAGCTCCAAGGCTAGGCTAACTGCATGCAGCAAGGCTAGGCTAACCTCATGCAGCGAGGCTAGGCTAACTGCATGCAGCGAGGCTAGGCTAACTGCATGCAGCGAGGCTAGGCTAACTGCATGCAGCGAGGCTAACTGCATGCAGCGAGGCTAACTGCATGCAGCGAGGCTAAGGCTTTATCCTGCTTCCCTGCCTCCTTTTTCTAATGTCAGCATCTGATCCAGCGTTGATAAAGACAGCTAGGACTGATTTAAAGCACTTTTTAGAAAAGACAAAGAAGAATGAAGAATCTGGGATCCACATGGAAAAGAATAGAATATAGTCTACTTTTTCTAGATGTTTGTACATTTGCACTGTTGCTCTTAAATAAACACATAATCAGAAAATAGTTTTTATATACTAATAAAATCTACAAGAACAGATTTACATTCACAAATCCTCAGGGCATAACATGGAAAACATGAAATTATGTTTTTGTAAAGTCTTTTTATAATGTTTTTTGTTGTTGGCATTCATATAAATATACTGGTGTGATAACTTAGTATACGTTTGATTGGTTTTTGGTTTATGTCTATTTAAAGGAAACTCCACCAGCCGCTGCTGCTATAAATATCAATCTATATAAATAGCCATATAAACACCCTGAGCACCTTTTTCTTCCTTTGACTCATTCTTCTTGTTCTTTGACCATTTGAGCTGATTTAATGTGTAAATTTATCCTCTGTGAGATCAATAAAGTCAATCAATCACTTCAGTGGTTTCTATTCCTTTAGTTGTACAGTATAGCAGCCATGTAGTGCCTCAATCTAACCTGCAGGGGGCGCAGGAGTACATGAGCACCAACTTCCACCGAACCGCCGGCCAGGAGAGGAAGAAGAAAGGCTAGCGGAGTGTTGCGGATGGTCGTTTGGTGCATGGCGCGTGTTTTGTACTTCGCCGCTTGTGGAGAAATGTCCTGTGCCGTGAGTAGTGAGGAAACAGGAAGCGATTCTTGTGAGATGGAAGAGGGAAATAGTAATAATGAAGAAGGTTGGAAGATGGCAACGTCAAAAAATGAGAAAAAGCGGAAAAAGCAGAGATCAGTTAAAGGAGAGTCCAGTTCAGAACAATCCAGTGATGATCAATCGACACATTCCACAGCAAAACAAAATGAATACAAAGTCATATTCAAAGTCGTTAATCAGGCAGACTCTTTTATAAATTGGAATTCGGTTCACTGAACAAAAAACATAAATAAACAAGTTGGAGAAGTCAGAGGTGCCAGAATCCTGTGCTGTGGAGACCTGCTAATAAACTGCAGGGACAGCGCCCAGCAAGGCAAAGCAATACGAATCAATAAGATGGAGGGATAAGAGTTCAGAGCAGCTTAATGGAGAACAAAAAGATCAGCAGGGGAGTCATTGGAGGAGTTCCTCTAAGAGTTTCTGACAAAGAGATTCTGGAAAACATAAGCGGTGCAAAAATAAAAGTAAAACGATTAAAAACAACAAGGAACAGAGAAAGATCTGACAGTTTATCGGTGCTAATTAAATTCGAGGAAGAGTAATTACCAAGCA